GGCTGGCCGGGGAAGGTGGGTTAGAGGCTGGGAGGGAGACGAGGCCCCTGGAGGCTGGGGCGGGCTGGAGCCCTCGCCGGACAAGAAGGGGCAGACTCGGGCTTGCTGCTGACGGGGACTTTATTTGGACCGAGCTGCAGAGATCTGCTGGCCGCCCTCGCGCCGGGTCAGAGCGACTCGGGCTCGGGCTCGAGCTCCGGCTCCGGCTCCGGCTCCGGCTCCCGCTCCCGCTCCGGCTCCAGCCCCGGTTCCGCATCCGGCTCCAGCTCCTCCCTCTTGCTCAGCACCTGAGGAGGGTGAATCCCGTCCTCCAAGGCAGAAAATCTTCTTGGCTGCCACTTGGGGAGACATGGAGGGCGGGGAGAGAAGGATGAGGGCAAAGGGAATAGGACGGAGGCAGGGCATCCATATTCTCAGCACCCCCATCTGGTCCCCACCGTCTCTCGCCCCTGGGGTCCCACCTCCAGGCACGCTGGAGTGAGCGGCTTGCGAAGAGGGGGCTCCGAAAGCAAGCAGGGTCCCCTTGGTCATCCTCCCGACACGGGATGGAGGGGAGGAGGACCGCGGGGGGGCATGTCCCTGGCTCACCCGTCTTCGCCAAAGGTGAAAGCCAAAGGCCGCGGTCACCAAGAGGAGCAGAGAGAGGGCACCGAGGGTGAGGAAGAGTGAGAGGTGGCCTGCTTGGAGGGCACCTGGAGCTTGCCCAGAGCGCCTGGCACCTGTGGAGAAACGACAGGAGGGGCCTAAGCCAGGGCTGGAAACAACAGCTTGTCCCTCCCTCACACTCTGTGGATGCAGTGAGCTCCAGACAGTCCAAGGCACATGCCCAGGGTCATTGAGCCACTTATGGCAGAAGTGGGTCAGTCCTAGACAAGACTCAAGGTCAGGTCCCTGACTGGACAGTAAAGCGCTGGGATGGGGGTGGCAGGGACTGCTCTGGAAGGAGGGGTCAAGATGACTGCTCCAGTGCTGGGGCCGTGGATCTGGGGGCCTCAGACCTGGGCTGGACAAGTCCATGCTGTAGACCGCTGCTCCGAGAAGCCTCGCCCCCTCATACAGCTGGCACTGCCAGGGCTGAGAAAGGAGCCCGGCCTCCTGCACCTCCAGCCAGGGTCCTGGGGCTCTCCTCTGGGCCGGATCGTCCAAGGGGCTCCACACAAACTGCTCCTGGCCTGACGCCGGTGTCACCTCACACAGCAGCTTCCCCGCGGAGCCGGGTGACCCAAAGCGCTGGAAAGTCGCTGGAAAAGTTAGAGGGGAAGGTCTTTCGGGGCTCCAGACCCCTCTAGGGCCACAGGTTCCATCCGAGTGGATACTTCTTTTTTTGAGTCGGAGTCTCAGAACTCGGTCGCCCAGACTGGAGTGCAGTGGCCGCTCCCGGCCACCGCAGCCTCGACCTGC